GATGTTTTACAGTAATGTCCATTTCAGATAAGCAAAGATAAGTAAGGTGTTTAACGTTGATAAGAGGACAAACAAAATCCATTGCGATTTACTCACCCCGGTTCCAACAACGTTCACACAGACGTGGAACATTTGACAAGACGTTTCGGGATCCGCGTAGTATCCTCCCACGATTTTATCCTTGCAGCTGAAACTGGTYGGYGGCATTTCATTTTGTTGGTAATTTGGTGGTTTTCTCTGACCGTACACCACACCTAAATTTTTATAAACACAAATGTATTGACATATTTTAATAAAAATATATTTGATTGGACGTAAACGTCAGTTGATATTTATTATTTATTGTGTATAATATGATATAATATAAAGGAAATAAAAATAATAATTACAGGTGAACATCGTGAGAAATGTCCAAATCTTGATGGCCATCATCATATTATTGAAAAACATGATGTATATATTTCAATTATCAATATRTAGTATCTGAAACACGTACAAATATAATATGTTTTAATACATAAATTGTAATTCATTAATAACCGTGAAAAKGTGAAAGGTAAAACGCCACCGCTGCGTCCGCATAATAGGTACATATTATTATACGACAACACCAACGGGTCGAGGATTTTTAATTTTTTAAATATTTTATCGACATTTTAACCATAATGTGACTCGCACTGAACTCCGATAGCGATTTCCAGTGTCGTAATATTATATTACACCGCATATCTATATGACGAACGAAACAAAATAGCCACCATAATAATTCTTGTTTACGAATATTATTACTTATAAATAAATAATAATATAATATGTTTCATTTCAGAGAGGATCGAAACAGCCGTCGATTATAATTACATAACAATAGAACCGGAGTGGCTGCCATTACATAACATACAAGCGCGCGTCTTCTTCGGTACTTATACAATATACATATTATACAGCACYGACGTGTGASTATCGTGTAGTATGAGCAAGGCGTATAAAATACTCCTACGTTTTTCGTATTGTTTTTATCCGTAACGATTGCATCATCGATCGTTAATCGATGTCTTCGTCGTAAWCGGAGCTTTCACTGAAAATCGCTGCATCCGTTCCGAAAGTTCGCGCGCGTGCGTCAGGTGAATTGAAAAATGCAAAAAAAAATCAAATACGTTGTGGGAAAAAATTGAGTATTAAATGTCACGGTCGTCCGGTATACATACCTAGCCACCTAGGTAGTAGGTACATAATGGTACAATATATTATACGTGTTATAAATAACGCATATTATATTAATCGTCGCGAAACTGGTTTAGGAGGATTATGAATAGACTGTAAGCACGAAGTAAAGAYTTAAACGAGAAAAACAACACGCGATCGTTGATCGTGTGATCCGAGAGTGYGTCATCATTTCTGATGGACTTACTGAGGGTTACCTATAATTTGTGCAAATTTCGTGTCAATAGACAGACAGACCGATTTGTACATTGGGCCTGCAACAGCAGGTTGCAGCTGGTGATAAAAATGGAATTCGTTTCCCAATATTGTAGACGCGAAATTTCCCGAACGAAACCGCGAGTGGAATGCATTGTGCCGTCGTCGTTGTGATTAATATTATATAATATGCGTCGCCCGAAGATCTAGTTATCGATCGAATAATAACCAACGTCGCCGTCGACGAAGAGTAGAAAAGATCGTCACGACGAGCGGATCGCAGGCGGGCGGGAGCCTTCTACCTATATTCTAATGCCGTGAGAACGTTCGTGCCAGTCACGAACCCGACCCCCCAGGGTCATCGAGCTCAGGACCTGCCGCAGGATTGAAATCCTTCATGGTAATGTATTGCAATAATAGATCTCATAACACGTGGTATTTTTATTCCATTTCTTCGTCGTAAGTCTACAAACGATTGGAAATGGCTCTGTGATCAATCTGCTAGATTTCACACAGCTGCTACATCAGTTTGTTTATTTACTATAAAATAGGTAACGATTATATTATTACTTTTATAACCCGATCTTACCGTTTTTTCGTCGGATCGAATAAAATCGATACAAACAAAATACACGAGATGATGATCAGATAATAATTATTCCTCGATGGTTGTAAATATTATTATAATATTGCATTGAGCATTCATAAAAATACTCTCTTGCAAAACCACTAATGAGAAAGCACTTGAACACTAGCATTTGGAAAATTATTGAAGAGTTTGATTGTGGCTTATAATAACTTCATTTTTTTAATACTTTGATAATAAAAAAATTATAATTTATAAAAAAAATATTTCGTTTAATAAATTATAATATTTTATATTAAATTTTTTATAGCACATGTGCCATTAATTGTTCATTGTTAAGCTTGGAACACAGGTTATTATTATATCAGTTAATTTATATACTCATAATATAGTCATATACATTAATAGTTGTATTGTACTCTATGAGATAAAATGCAAAGAAAACCTCGTATTGAAAATTAAAATAATACACACGCATCATTTTGATGAGAAAAGTCCACTGAAAAATAAAAATAATAAACAGAAGGTACGTTCCCTTACCTAACCTTCGAGCTTATATTTTATGTACTGGCAGGCTGTTGAAATAAAATAACACAATAATTGGCCAACTTGAGCACGAGTGGTTGGTTATTTAAATCAAGACTAAGAAAAAACACATTTATATGTTATTTACGTCATTATAAATTATAATAATGTTCCGACAGAACCTGACTTCTATTATGAAGATCGTAAAAGCGTGCCTTATAATAATAATTAATATTAATGTGTTTCAAAATCAAT